AAATAATAGTGAATTTTTTATGTTATGTTTGTTTACATTAATTTAAAATGTTATTAATAAAGTTAGTATCCCATCTTCTATTAATTTTCGTGTGAAATTATATATTCTTTTAAGGGGAAAAAAATTTATTTGAAAAGCTTTTTTAGTTTTCCTGATATTAAATGTCTAAGACGAACAGCATTGGGTGTGCTAATCGGTTGTCGCGCAGTGTAGCTGCATTCAAACATATTTGATAAATTCAATACTATGTCAAAAAAAAAAAAAACAATTTTCAGCAAATTTTAAAAATCTTTACTACGAAACTTGAAAAATGCTACCGCTCGGGAATCTTTTTTATTATGCGAAAATATTTCTAGTGATGATCATCTACAGCTTCAACATAAATATTCCACACAAATAACCATCTAGAAAAACGAATGTACCTAATTTTTATTTCAACTTTAAATAAATTTTTATTACCCCAAAGTACAGCATATTGCTTGAAAAATATGTATATGTTTCTGTTAGAATATTAAGCTACGATACACTCATTAAAAAAATAATATTTCAATAAATTCTATTTTTCCACAAAGTTTTGTCTAATTCTCAGCTCATGCGAACTATACTGTGTTCTGTTAACCCAAGTTCATGCCCAGACTTAGTAGAATGCGAAACTCACTCGAAAACGTTTCGTGCGAACTGCAGTTTTTACTTCACTAATTGTCGAAAATACAATTAAAAATATAATTATTTGTACTTCAAAAATCATTATGCCGGTTTTATGTGTTTACGCTTTGCCTTTCAATCGTTTACTTAGCAAATGAATTCTTTGCGGATAAATGCGAAATATGGAAAAAAATAATATGTATGTGTATATAAGTGTCGAAATGAGTGCAATGCTGTTTTTCTAGGAATAAAACAATGTTGGACTTGGAATGTTTGGTATCGATATGAGATTAAAATGCAAATGACGTCCGCCTTTGAAATCGTAATTTGCATTTTAATGAGTCCATCATAACAATTTCTAAATTTAATGTATTTCAAACCTCCGCACTTTATAACAAAAAACTGCTATGCGCTACTAACTCTTACTTTTTAAAGAAATATTGAAAAACATCTTAAAGTTTACTATTTGTCAATAATATTAAGAGCAAATAAGATCAAAAGGGTACTTTATAAAATTGAATTAAGTCCTCGAAATCTGCCCCACCCCACTTTGACATACTGATTGCCAATAAAATAAGCACTGAGGAATTTCGCCGACATTCTCATTTATTTTTATTTTCCTGATTAAGTGCAACAAAGAAATTAAATAATAAAATTTAAGAGAAATAATGTAGCTAATGCAAGATAAAACGAGAGTACTCACTAAAATTGTACTGTGCATGTTATTGAATTGTTATTATATACATGTATGATATTTACATATAAAAAGCAGCATATGATTTAACCCTTTGAGTAACTTAGTACTCGATCGTACAATTCATTTTTGCTTCTTTAAAACCGTTTTTTGAAAAAGTTCATATAATCCCGATTCGATTCGATTAGAGCAAAAAAAGGCGAGAGTCATTCGCTAGTTACCAGTCAAAATCTTCGAACGGATCATCGAAAAGTTAACTCAACCTATGGACCATCTGAGACGTAGCCGGGGCCAACATTTGAAACACATAATCTTCAAAAAAAAAAAACTGACAATATACATTCCGCATTAAATCTGAGTTTTCCGCGTTTTTATTTTTCTTTAAGAAAATAAGAAAAATGTATGAAATCATATTCATCTATAATTTCATTTAATTTTTGACAGCTTTAAGGTATCAAATTTAAAAAGGTCAAATACATTTATATATTTTGACATTTCTTAAGTATATATTTTTAAGATTATTAACTAAAACTTACAAAATTAGTGTAATTGTATGCAAAATTATAGAGCACACAAATATCGACAAGCTTTATCACAATCGTGCTTTGCAGTATGAATCATGTTATCGCAGATACCGCAAATATCTACATAACAGGCTTACATAAATACTTCTCAGTTATAAGTTTTCTCGGCATTAAAGGCATTTAATGGTTTTCAATCACAAATTTCTTTTTAATGCGAATTTCATTCCATTATTCCATTTACTGTGTATTTTACAAAAATATAAATAATTCCTTAGCAAATATATAACTATAAATTGATGAAACAAAATATGGAATTAAATTATAATGAGTCCACGTTGTGCTGCTGCCCGAGACTACAAGTTTACTTTTGCATACGAAGTGATTATCAGCTTGTTGTTCAAAGCCTTCAAGGCAAGTAGAATTACACAAATTGTTAACGCATGTGCCATTGTAACAGAAATCAAAACAATTCGGCATTGATGTGGTCATCGGGGTGGTTTCAAATGTGGTCTCCAAGGTACTAGTTTCAGGTGTGGTTGGTATTGGTTCGCAGGCTGAGTATGGTCCGCGGTATTTAGTAAATCCTTTGTCACACCTACACAAATTTGGGGCAACGCAACTACCGTTCGGACAACCATTCGGGCAGTCGGAGATGCAATTGTAGCCATCACCTGTGTAACCGATACAACAAACTCTGGTTATGGAGCCATCCTGTAATTAAAATATATTATTAGTTTCATGTAGAAAGTTTTTAAGAAAAATATATATTTCTGTGCAAAAAAGACGTACAGGTTTTGAGTTCTTAAAATTTGAGTGCGAATCTTCTTAGCGGCGAGTAGCTTTTTTTGAGTATCAAAAGAGCAATTTTGTATATACTCGTATTTGTATCATCATCAAACCAATAAGTGAAAAAGTTTACTCGTTAAAAGTGTTTATATTGTATAAAAAATAAACCAAAGTCGAAGCAAATTGGTGAATCATGTTTTCAATTTTTCAAAGAAAGTTGAAGAAACGGATTCAACAAGGCAAGAGGGAGTTGGTAGATGCATCTGACAGCGAAATAGAATCATTTCCTGCGCGTAGGAGATTGATAGATGCCGGACTTGTAAGAAGATATCCCACAAAAATATCGCTTTGGAATGTATAAATGCGTCAAAAACGCTGTCAATAGGTAAAAATTCATCAAAACTGGTCTGTCTGACACTTGATGATCTTTTTTGGATTAAGCGTAGTTTAACCTCTTTGAATCGGATGGTATTCACCACATTAGACACAGATCTGCCAAAAAGTACACACCTGACTGCATACTGCAAACTGTAAGACAGTTCGTTTGTTAGAATGCTGTGGTGCTGCTTCACCTATGTCAGAACGAAAGAATTGACTTTTAGTGATTGTCAGGTGAATAGAGATGCCTACATTTCAAATTTAAAGGGATAATTCCTACGTACGATTTATTTCATAATGATTTTGCGCCGTGTCAACAATCTCACAAGCTAAGTTATGTCTTTTTTTTAGTCTCAAAATTGTTTTGTTGAAATTTCAAATCAAAAAAATAACCATTTATACCTCAATTGTCGCAGGTAAAATAATTTCTGGGAAAACACGATATTGTCCAATTGGAATGGCCGGGTAATAGGCCCGACATTAAACCCTTGGTCGTTGTAAGGAAGCAGGTGGCTGAAAAAAGACGATGAACACAATTGAAAACTTGGAAAGCATTTTGATGGACATCTGGCACAACGGTATTTCGGAAGCATTGTTGCAAAACATCAAAAAAAATATCAATGCCGAGACGTAGTTTAGGTGAATGGTGGTATGACTAAATATTAAGTCTGCGAGTTATAAAATTTATAATAAATTCTTTCCTTTATTTCAAATTAATTAAGGAAAACTGACAATAAAACGTTCGTTATGGCTATTGATTATCGATTTAACTTTATAATTTTATATTGAAAACGCAATGAAAAATAACCGCAGTTGAACATATTTCATAAATTCAAGTCTTTTAAATTACAATCTTCATTTTAAAATTTATATTTTTTTAATAATTTCTTAAAAAAAAATCGCCTGGCTCTTCTGGGGCAACCCAATATATTGCGTGATAAATATGTATATGTATCTGTACTTAATATATGTTATAACAGTATTTTACGATACACACATCAAAAAATATAATTTCATATGTCAAACATATTTATCACAATAAATGTAATTTTTCACATATTTTTATTTGCTTCCAAACTCTAGATCTTTAAACAGAAGTGTTCAGACTTAGTAAATTGCGAAACTTACTCGGCGATGTTTCGTACAAAATGCAGTTTTCACTTCACTTATTGTCGAAATTAGAATTAAAAATACAACTATTTGTACTTTAAAAATCATTATGCCGGTTTTATGTGTTTACGCTTTGCCTTTCAATCGTTCACTCAAATGTGAATATGTAAAGCAATAATATGAATGTGTGTATCAGTGTCGAAATGAGTGAAATGCTGGTTTTTCTAGGAATAAAAATGTATTGGATTTGAAATGTTTGGCATCGATTGAGTTTTAAATGCAAATGCCGTCAGACCTTCTCTGATAACTTAATTATAGATTGTATAGGAATGCACACATTCTAGTTAAAACCATAGTTTTTCAGAAAGGCATCGATTATTTCATTGTTACGAATCTTACTCATTAAAAATTTACTCTTCGCGATAGCACTGTAGTACAAATTTCATATAGTAATCCTCATTAATAATATAAATTAAATCAGTTTTTACAAGCAATTTGCGTATATTTGTAATCGCTAGTTTCATTAATATGTGTCCATCATAACAATTTCCAAATATAAGGTATTTGAAATTTCTGCAGTTTATATAAAAATAAATTGCGCTGTCGACTTATATATTTTAAAGAAATATAGGAAAAATTGATCACCTTATCACATCTTCAAACCTACAACTCAGCAAAAATATCAAGATCCAATAAAATCAAGGTAATTGTTGAAATTGAATTAATTTTCCGAAATCTGCCCCCCCCACTTTTACATACTGATTGCCAATAAAATAAGCACTGAGGAATTTCGCCAACATTCTCATTAATTTTTATTTTTCTGATTGAGTGCAACAAAGAAATTGATTATATGATAAAATTTAAGAGAAACAATGTAGCTAATGCAAGATAAAACGAGAATACTCACTAATATTGTACAGCGCATGTTTTTGAATTGCTGTTATATAAATGTATTTGTGGCGGGTCCCAAACCCAGCGCATAACGTCGCTGCACGAGTAAGTTCCAGGTTTTTATACATTTTAATAGTGCCACTAGCTTTTAGACTGACGCCTGTTCGCCGCCGCACCTTTGTTGAATAGATGTTGCATTTTGGCCAAGTCTCCAGACGGGTTGGTTACCGCAGCTAGCACGAGGGTTGCTCCCATTTTCAGGATGCCCAAGGTGAACGCAAGAGTAGGAATTATGTATAGCATCGCGAATATAGCAGCATACCCAAAACCTTGACTACACCTCTTGCACCCCACCTCAATTGATGGCAATTGATAAAGAAACTGATGCATGCACCGACCTTGTCAGCCCTTCATTGCTTCGAAACTGATGCATGCACCGACCTTGTCAGCCCTTCATTGCTTCGAAACTGATGCATGCACCGACCTTGTCAGCCCTTCATTGCTTCGATTCGAACTTCTTCATATTCGGGCTGTGAAACATTTATTCCATCGTCATCGATTGGGGGGAATGGGGATCGCTGTCTCCAGGTGTTCCTTTATTGCAGACACTTCGTACCTGCCGCCTAAGAGACTTTTACTTTTCACCATGCTTTACCACTTTTTGGTTTTCCTTGCTTGAAGGTCATAATTCAATTTTCTTTTTGTATGATACTCTTATGTATTCCAATTTTTTCTTTTTTTTTTTTAAAATCAGAAGATTTATTGGTTTTATTATATCAAATGCACGCGCTGACATGCTACTTGCTCGCATTGCAACTGACAATGCAGTGAAATATGTGTTTTCAAAAACGTACTTTATTTTTCTTCCACTTCTACTGCCGCCTTTTGCCTTCTTGTTTTTGTTAAATTTACTGCTGTTGCATGTACTGTAACTGTAATTTTATGTTTCTACTGCCACAACATGGTACTATTGCTGTCAGTGGCATACCACACTGTTGCATACTGTTAAACAAGTACATATATATGTTGCAATAAGTANTCCTGCGCCAATATCGGTGTTACGACTCTGGACTTTTGCGGAAATTGTGGTCGTATCCGATGTTTGTATATATGGTCGTATGTGTTGGCCCAAGTAGCGCGCTAATGCCATTGTTCGCTGGAATTAATGGTGTCAGCAACTTTTGCTGTTGTATTAGTGGTTGTAAATAGCAGCTTCATTGCATCAACCGTAAACTGACTTAACTCCTTTCATTCCTTTTACGCACTCACCCCTCTTTTTGGAATGTGTTTTTGTTGTTGTTGTTCTATTTTCTCTTGACTAACAACCCACAATCATCTCATTTTAATTAACGCAAATTTATGTTGGCTCTTTTACTGATTTATATCAAAGCCATGCACAGTTCAAAGCATACTTATACGTATTTACATATAGACAAACATACTATGTATACGAATATGTATTTATATATTTGCTATGTGCATGCAACTGCAAGTGAGTTGCTATTTTTCTTTTTACTTTATTTTTGTCTAAATTATACATGTATATATTAGTATGTAAGTATATACATGTTTGTATTTATAGCTTGTTATCTTTGGGATTTTGTGGGTTAGCAACTTTGCTGCTCTGCCAGCTCAGGTTATTCATTAAGTTCAGCAGAAGATATACACTTTTGACTTTGTGGCTTATCAAATTCATTTACTGATTTTCTGTGCAGCAAAGAAATTGTATGTCGTCTTTGTGATAGTGTAGTCAAATGAAATTGAGATTGAGTGTAAGAAGGGGATGGAGAGCTGAAAGGGGAGCTGAAAAGGAGTTTTTTTTAAACATTTTTGAAAATCATACATAGAACATAATGTAATAAATCAATAAATCAAGAATGAAAAATTACAACTTTTTAATTGGAAATTTTTATTCATTAGAAAAGTTTTGAATGCAACTTGTTGCAAGAAGTTTACCACCACTTTGGAAATACACAAAATTATTTTAATTTGAACAAATGGCCTCTGGTGATCGTGGCTCCAAGCTTTGTGTAAAGCTTGGCCATTCGATGCAGTATTTTTGAACCGGGATTTTAAAAGAGGAATGAAAGTAAAACAAGTGATGAACTTAATATAAAGGGTTTTCCAATAAGACTGTTATTTCGAATAGCTTGATATTTCTGCGTTGTTCTCGTTGTTGTTGTTGTTGTATCGGCTCATCCCACCCCACTTAGGGACATGTTTGTTCAATCTAAGTCGTCGAGGTCTTCTAATGGGAGGTGCAGGAAACGTGCTGTTTCGTCGGGATCGGACCAGAGGGAGTGGGGGGTTTGATGTGTTGGCTTAAGGGGATATGTGAATAGGTGGTTAGTGTCGCTCGGAGACTCTCCACATGCAGGGCATACGTTGGGTATGCTGGGGTTTGGAAAATATATATAGGAGTTTAACCTGCTACAGCATCCAGACCTAAGTTGTGCCAAGGTCACGCGGACAGCTCGAGTTCGCTGTCTGCAGTGAGTGGTGTTTTTTCGCCGAGCACGCAATTCACGGGAATGGAGTCTTTGAAG